ACCCCCCTCTCCCTCTGGCTGTCGCCACACTGTTCTCCATGTCTATGTGTTACATACATATGTTTTGCTTAATCCCTTCACCTTTTTTCACACACACCCCTCCTTCGTCCCCTCTGACAGCTGTCAGTCTGTTCTATGTATCTATGCTTCTGTTTCTATTTTGTTAAATTATTTGTTGATTAGATTCCAAATATAAGTGAGATCACATGGTATTTGTCTTTCTTTGACTGGCTTATTCCACTTAGCATAATACTCTCCAGGTCCACCTATGCTGGCGCTTTTAAAAGGTAAGATGTTCTTTTTTATGGCTGAGTAGTACTCCATTGTGTAAATGTCCCACAGCTTTTTTATCCAGTCATCTACCGATGGCACTTGGCCTCTTTCTCGATCTTGGCTGTTGTAAATAACACTGCGATGGACACAGGATTGCATATATTCTTTCGAATTATTGTTGGAAGTCTATTCCATCTTAAAACACGAAATTCTCTCTCTAGCCACCAAACCCTCTACAGTCCCTCTCTCATCTCCCCTTCATTGCCAAACTTTTCAGAGTAATTTTCTTCCCTCGTGTCCCTGCCTCACTTCCCACGCAGTCCTCGGGCCGCCACTCTGACCCGATGGCAGTGTGCACCACCCGCCACCAGCGAGGCCTCTGCTCAGGTCGCCCTTCACCTACTTCCACGCTGCTAAAGGCCTGGGCATTTCTCAGCCCTCGTCTCGGGTGAATTGCCAGCAGGATTTTGCACTGTTAACAACTCTTCTTTAAAAAATCTGTCTTCTTTAAGCTTTCTTGATATTGCACCCTCCTAATTTTCCTCTTACCTCTTCAGCCAGCCCTCTTCTGTTCCCTCTGTGAACTCAGTCTCCTCTGGCTGGCTTTCAGTATCCTCAAGGCTTAGCCCTGGCCCCTTCCCTTCTCACTCTATACTTTCTTCTCTGGAAATCTCACTACCACCCAAGGCTTTAATTTCCACTCACAGACCAGTGATGCTCCCATTTATACCTACAGCCCTCAGCTCTCCAACGAGCTCCTAGCTTACTTTCCAAGCATTTTTATGTATTTTCTCCATTTGAACATCTTAAGATCAAAGCCAACGTATCCATAACTGAACTCGTCTGATTTCCCTTCCAACCTAGTCCCTCAGTCATGATTTAGTCTCAGGGAACAGAGCGCCGTGTCGCCATAATGAAAGCCAGAAAGTGGGAGTTGTCATGACAGCACTGCCTTCCATAATTGCCTCATATAATCCATGTCTATTCTACCCTTAAATATCTAATTGGTCCTAGTCTATTCTGTCCTTTCTAATTCCATGGCCGTCATGTCAGTCTAAGATATTATCATCTATCAACTTACATTCTCCTTGGCCTCCCCATTTCCTTCTTGCCTAGTCCAATCTATTCTCCACGTGGCAAACAGAGATCTTCTCAAAACACAATGTCTGCCTAAAATCTTTCATGGTTTCCCAATGCACTTAAGACCAAAATCTTTCCCATGCTTTGTGGGACCTGAAGGAGTTGGCCCCTGCCTTCCCCTAAGATGCCCCCACTTCAGATACCCTGGTCTTTAGGAGCTGTGCACCCCCCACCCCGTGGCCCCTTGCCATGCTGTTCCCTTTGTATCCAAGGGCTTTCCCCACCTATCTTTCATAATTAATGTCTACTCTTTCCTTATTCTGCAAATCTCAGTTCTCAAATCAAAAGTTGAGAGTTTTAGGGAAAACTGTCCTGAGGGCCAGACCGAAAGTGTTTCCTGCCCTGTGTTCTAATAGCTCTCTCTGCTTTCCTTCCTGGCACTTGTCACAGTAAATCATCATAAACTTATACAGTTACATGATCAACATGGGCTTAATAAGGAGACCTTCAGAGAATGAACGTACCTGTGCTTCACTGAATCACTACTTTGCTCATTGAGAATTTGGGCGTCTACAGCTTCTTCTTCCTTAAATTACATGCAGTGAAGATGCACTGCTTCTGCATTGGGGAGAGAAAGTTATTTTAAAAATAAACACCT